CATCTGTCTTTTTCATCTCTTATGCATGCCGTCTGACATCTGGAAGCATGCGGCCTGTGGGTGTAATTCCTCCTGCATGCCGTCACTTCTCTCCATCTGTATCTTCAAACTTCTTCCCCATCCTGCTCTTCTCCTCCCCAGGACCCAGACATCCTCTTCTTCCGTGGTTTCAGCTAAAACAAGAACTAATCAGAGGATGTCAAGCAAGCATTTGTTCCTTTATATCACCATAATGAAGTATCTCCTCTCCTTTCATCATTTATTTAATGTAGTTTTCATTTGTGTGCACATCTTATATGCCCCAACCAGTCATTCAACACTTGATCTCCATGCAGTTTAACCCATTCAAAGAGGAACTTATCCACACCTGTCTTGGTCACTATAACACCATTCCAAAAGTGGCTTAACTACTAATGAAATACTATTATATACTGTGCAGGGAATTCACCCATTCACCCCTCTTAATGTTTAGTTTATCTGATCATACTATGATAGATCGTTAGGAAGGTCAAAGTAAATTAGAGAAAACTTTAAACCTCAGTAAAGAAGAAGAAAATGAGAAAGATGGTGTACATATAAAGGTGTGCCGACTTCATTAATTACTCAGGCCACTTGCTAAATATGAGAAAAACGTATTTATTTATCCAATTCAAAAATAATGTTGGTTCTTAAAAGAACATCTATGCTCTATGTGTGGTTTCCTGAATAGGAGACATTATAACTGTTCAATATTATGTTTTATTAGAGGTTATAAAGAGAAGAGAATATTGAAATCTCCAAATAATCTAGTGTATGCATGTTTAGGGGTGTCTTTTCATTTGGAAATCTTATATTTTCCTTAATCAGGGCTTCAAAGTAGTTCCTTGGGTTTCTCCGATGGCTGTCTTTGAAGGGTTTCATTTGTTTCTGATCAGATTGTGTACATTTCCATGCCTTTACACACATCAGGAGCAGTGAATCCCTTCAAATGCCAGTAAATGCAGTTGTAACGTATATATTTGGACACATATTCGTGTCATTAACAACTGCAGCTTTGTTTGCCACTGTTGAAAACTCTTTACGGTAGCTTTCCTTTCAGGGACACAGTGTATCATCTCCGCCTCTATGGATTTTGGAGGCCGTTTAAAAACGTTTTAATCACGTTATATTATATGTTAACAGACATAAAGCAAAACTTTGAGCCTAACAGCAGCCTTGTATTTATGCTGTCGGTGTGTTTGACTCAAGAGGAATCAAGAGGGTTGTGCTGCTCTTCAGTTTTCCTGCTCCACCACAAAACATGCAGTGCTTTTGTCACTTCCTGACCTCATCTTACGTGTCTTATATGAACAGTCTGAGTTATACAATGGTGCTGAGCTAAGGCTGAATCTCCAAAAGGAACAGGTACATGTATTCCTGCACTATGACCACAGATTGTTTCACAGCCTGCGGATCAGCATTCGTGTCCAAAAGTTGACCCTGACATGTACTGTACTGTATATCTGCATTGATTGGCACATCTCAAGTATCTTGCTTGAATGGCTCTTTGTGAAATTCATGTCCACCAATAAAACCTTGAACACAGCTGCCACTCTATTGTTTGTTGTGTTATGTGAATGCCATTGTGTTGCCTTGTGTTTCAGGTCAACCAGCGTGTGAAGAGGAATCCAAGACGTTAAGTGCCTTCAGTGTCAGCATTATCTGGTTCTATGTTTTCCTTCCCACTTTACTTAAATACAGCCATACAACACATTGCAATTACTGTAGCTTAAACTATTTAGTAGACTACAAGAAAAGACAAGGTCAGAGTCTAGCAATTTAGCTGCAACCTCAGTTTTCTAGAAGAATATTTAGTTCATGTATAATTTTATTGTGTATATGTACTGAGTGAATAATAGGTGACGGCCAATGTCAGCATGAAATCATTTCTGCTCCATTTCAGTGAGCTCAATTATCCTTTCATTAAGGTTTTAATTTCTACACTCGTACGCTTTACTATTTAAGCATTTCCACATAAACCATCACAGCGATTAAGGGTTGCACTTTTGACACAGTTTTATGTCTCTTCCTGTTTTTATTTCAAAACTGTCACTGCATCTATTTAGTTCAGTTTAAGGTGAGTTTTCTGTTGTTGTTCTTTGTTGAAATACTGTATTTTGGGCAGGGTTTTGTTTGAAGTTTAGAATGAAAAGATTTCCCCTTAACAAATAGTAGAAATAAGTGATTTGATCAAATACATACAGTATTTACAGTATTTATTTCTGACCAAATGCATTATCGAGGTTTAAGGTTTATCGAGCGACATATTTTCTTTTCTCATTGTGACAAAAGTGACATTCATTGATTGAGGATTTTGTTTCCACTTTTGTGTCCTCTTCTGCATCAAATAGTCTTCAGATCCATAGTACAAGGGTTTGCTTGGTAGACATAAATTGGCTTTTTAACAGATCTCCATAACTTCACTATTCAGTGCAAAAGTGTGTGCCAATGCTGTGGGAAAAGAAAAATGTATATATTTGTTTCATCATCAGTCTAATTCTAAGTACTATATAGACTTAAACTCTTTATTTTTAAAATATGTTCCTTACTTATATCCAACGGAATCAACACATATTCTCATGCTAACAAAATCAGACACAGAAGTATATAAGTTTTAAAACCTGATCCAAAGGCACTAAACGTTAAAACAGTACTCTATTCGTCAGCATTTGTACATTTTGTATGAACGTAGAAGTACCAGAGTGTAGGAATACTGTGTTACAAGTAAATGTCCTGCATTCAGAGTAAAAGTTAAAGTACCAAAAGTAAAAGTACTAATTATGCAGATTGGTCCATTTCAGAAATATATATATTATATGTTGTAATTATAATTATTGATCCAATAAAGTGTTTATCAAAGCTGGTAAAGGTGCAGCTAGTTTTAATGACGTTGTATCAGAGTAGCTTGTGAATTGACTCCAGGTTTAAATAAAGTCTTATTTAAGTGTTGATTATATTTCACATCATTAATCCAAATCTGCAAAGTAACTAAAGGTATTACATTTACCGTAGTACATCGTAGTCTCTCAAAATCGTACTAGTACTTCAGTAAATATACTTTACACCACTGCATAAAACAAACCCAAGGTGATGGAACAAAGGTGCAACATTTCAAAATAATTCAATTTAAACGTGTTTTGAATCTTTGATTGTGTGAATATTATATAGACCTATAGAGATAATGCTCATACACTGTGTATAGCAACATAACTGTCTGATTTGAGGTTTTACAAAATAGTTCAAATTCAATTTAAAAGTTTGGATGTGGTTGGGAACCTGTATTGTTCCTCTATATTTTTGGTATAATAAAACTGCATGGGTTAATTATTGTGTGGCGGCCTGTATTGGAGAGAAATGTGTCAGCATTGAGCCCCCCCACACAGACACACAGCACAAACAGACCTTTCTCCCTCTAAAGCAGCAGTCATTAAGACATCATGACTTTCTGCCCAAATTGGGCATTATTTTCCGCTTGTGAATGACGACCACTATAATTTGGCCACAAGCTTGTCTTCTTATGAAAGGGTTTCCTCATTCACCACTATCCATGAGGGGAGACCATGCACTATTTTGGGACTGTGCCCCAGTTGTATAAAGACACATGACTTATTGCCCTGTCTGAGCCTCACACACAAACACAATTCATCAACAGGTGTGGGAGGAAACATTTTTTTCTCTGCAGAAGGATGTTACGTTTGGAGTGTGTGGGGTAAGTGTGAGAGAACAAAGATGCTGGGCTTTCAGCCTGCAGGAGGATTTCCTCGCTCCGCAGAGGAAAGAAGAGAGCCTTGATACAGCTGGTTGTGCAGAAGCATTTATAAAGCTGAATTAACTGCACATCTTTGCTCTTTGATAGATATTGAGATTTGACAATGATCAGTAAAGTCATTCAGTAGAATCATTTTGAATTAAACCTTATTTGTTATTCACCTTCACTGCCGGTTTTGTATGTAGTAAGAAACCTACAAAGGAAGTATAACGTTTGTATTTCTTTAACTTTTACAGCAATTAGCACCTACTGGCAGTTTCCTAAAGGCTACCAAACTTGTCTTGACCAATTGTGGCTTCAAAAGCAGAACTTGTTAAAATGCTGTGTGTGCAATAAATTCCATTGATGAGAAATCCTAAAATCTACTTTGAGGGAAGATTGAAGATACAGCTTTGGATTGCTGTGTGACTTGAATTGTGGAGGAAGATAATGGGAAATGCAGATGAAGCCATAATAGTGGTCTCTGGATTTGTAATAGTTTTTCTTTATTCTCTTTGATACCTTTCATTTGAGAGGTGTGATGCTTGGCCTTGCCATCAGCAATATTTTATTTAATCTTTTTCCCAACATCATGCTTCTATCCCCTTGAAGGATGTTTTATGTAAAATATGCTTTTTGTTCCCTGTGAAGACATTTAATCAAGATTAACCTTGGTATTTTAGTAGCCAGTGGTCTAGCTTTGTGAGGGTTCATAATGGATGACAATTAAGCACTATACCTTCAGTGCTGCGGATCGGCTCTTGTGTGAAAAAAAGGACTTGTAAATTTAGTTTTTTACTGTGTTGCATGTTGAATAGCCCGATCTATTCCCTTTAAATTGAATCTTCTGCTACATTGAAGATATGAATATTGCTTTTACAGTAAAAAAATAAATAATATCCCTTTTGCCTAAATAATGTGCAAAACTTTCCCAGCTTTTATAGTTCGTAATTGTGTTACTTTAATAAGTCTTTTTGGGATATTTATTTTTATTGGACAGTGTCTTCCTTTTACTATTAAGATTTTTCAACCTCAATTTCTAACTTTTTTGTCACATGCTCCGCGTTTAGAATATAGATTAAGCGAGACCAACTTCGACCAATATATGGATGTTTCTTTTTTTCCCAGATTACTTCACTTAAAAAAAATAACAAGTAATCAGTGGGCCTACTTGTGGCACCCCTCCGCCTGCTGGAGCTGTGGCAGCAGGGGAGCACTGCTCTTGTGAATGTTCATTCATGGTTTTCAGAGCATGGCAGACTCGAGTATCCTCACATTGTCCGCTAAGAAAGTGCAGAGAAAATAGTTTTCCTGGGTGGTCCGACTCATTAATACACTCCGCACTTCTTGATTTACGGCTCGCAGTTCAACTGCTGCCAATTAACGTGAAAACACGTGAAAAAAAGAGTAGTGGAAAATACACAGAGGGGGAGGAGGCCACTGAGTTTTGCTCCACAAAAGTCAGAATGAACCTGCCCTCCACACCAAGGTAGGACACCAGGAACTATTACAACTTACAGAGCTGGACCGCAAAAGTGTGTTGTTATTATTAGTTTAGCATGTAGCTGTTAGCACCTGCTGTGTAAAGCTAATGCCACTTTAGCTCTGGTTGGGCCTGCTTGAAGAGCTTTAAGTCATGTATTTTAATTTTGCATTAATCTGTTTTATTGACGTGACACCATTTTAATACTGACGTTGGAAAAACTATGAACATATTTACCACGTTTTAATTTGATTAGCTTCATTATTGAGATGATAAAAGGAGAACAAGTGCAAATCAGGCCTATGCAGATTCACTCAAAGCGACGCAGCAAACATTTCGTTGAGGATTTAATTGTATTTAAATCAAACTGGCCTTTCAAATAATTGCCATCCGCTTCAGTTTATATTTCGTTTAGTTGGATATTCTGCAAACGTATAATGTACAAATGAATGCATGTGTGCTGAAATGCACAGCGTGTGTTTTTGTATCATATAGGACCGCTTCCTGAAAAGTGTAAAAATACTCGTTAACTATAAAAGGGTTCAAGTAGGCTACGTCAGAGAAGTGATAGGCCTTTCTAACATTAAATAAAAAGGCACACCATGGTTTGTTATTTGAATAAACCAGATGAAGAACAGTTTTCTTAACTCTTCCTAAGAAATACATTTTGATTGATTTTAAGTTTCATTCAGTATCTTATGCCCTTTCGATTTCAAGTGTTGTATTTCAAGGCTGTAGGCCTAATGTGTGTAAATTGCATTGTCAAACTACTACTTCAGTTTCTCTGAAGACAGGCGTCCACTGAAATTATGTTTTGAATTATTACAAATCCTAAATAAAATCTGAGAAAATGAAATACTTAGGCACATAATGATTTTTATACAAGATATAGCATGCATAAATGTACTTAACTTAAAATGTGCAATGTTGACTTAATGTAGGACTGGCCATTTTGGAGGAGAGCTGCAGCTAAATGTGGACGGTGTTAATTAAAGCTCATTTGTTCCTTATATCCTGCTACTCACTGGCAGAAGGTGCATCTGTCTGCACTGGTTTTATATTTTAGTGAAGGGCCTCAGTTTCTGTAATTGGACTATTTCTTTGTATTTGCTTTTTATCCCAGTATGATCTGCAGCTCCCTGTGGAGGTCACGCACTGTGGCACGGTACCCTGTGACCTTGTCAAAAGCTATCACAGTGGTAACACACGGCTATAGTTTCCCTCTCATCTTAAGACATAATCTCTTTAATTGGTGTCAAAGTTGGGATCCTTATGGTGAAACTCCTGAAAATACCCACACGCTCACTTGTTGACACTTGTTGTTGAGAGACCGAATGAAACAGGGTCTTGTCAATGTGGTGCTGAAACTTGTTAATCCATAGTGGGAGGGGGGGAGGGGGTGTTACCGCGGGCCCTCTAGCCACTCCAGTCTGACAGGATCCCTCCTCTGAAGTCAGTCCCATCTGACTTCTCAGACTATTCAACCCTTCTCTCTCTTTACACCTGCTCAACAACGCACACCAAGTCACGCTGACACATTTCTGCTTTTAATCGCTTAAAACCTGAGAAAGATATTTATGTCATTGGGTGAAATATTTTAGGTTAATCTTTTGGGGGCTACAACTACCATTTATTTCCATTGTTATTTAATATACCTTATTTATTTATAATATGTTCCTTAAAGGACTGATTGATCTTTGAGGGAAACAGTATCTCCTAATCATCTCTTATTGACATGTAATTTCTTTATTTTTCCTTATTTTGCCTGACCAATAGTTCAAAACCAAATTTAAAAAATAATAGAAAACAGGACCTATTATTAGTGGGCCCAGATAATGCATATTATTAAAAAGTTTCTGCTTGAAATTGTTTTTTAATTGTTTATAGTGATATGACGATTTTTACATCAAGGTAGTTATCTTTGATTAATATCTCTGATTGAATACAATACAACAATTGTGGGTAATGTTGCAAATCCATGAGCAAGACTGCTGTTTTGATATTATTTGATTTAAAGGGTATTGGTTTGAACATAATCAAGTATTTTATTTTCATTTATTTACTGAAAAAGCAAAAAAAAGCTCAAGTTAAATTGTAAAAAGTCCCACCTTCATGAAAGTTTTGTTAAAACAATTTTAGAGAAGTGTTGATTCAACTGTTATTGAGTGTTTTTAATATTAAATCCACCCTCACTGATTTAAATGCAGTGGGTATAATATTAGCAACACCTCTCAGTTTATTAGAATGCAATTGTTCAGCAGCACAAACAGCAGCCTCCAAAATGACCATCAAATTGAATCAACGCCTCTCTACAGTTTCACATTATAACATTCATTCATTTGATGCAGGACTGTTGTATTAGACTGGATAACTTTAGTCTAATAAACTGGCAACTGAGTGTTTATTTAAAATGGAATATACAATGATAGTATTAAATCCATTTAGGCCTTAGTTTGAATGTTTTAAACTAATCAGGACAGCAGTGAATGGGTCGGACGTTAAGCCTGTTGTGATGGTTCAAGGTTCAAGGCTTTTATTAGTCATACGTACATAGCTACAGTGTAGTTATGACGATGAAAATCTTAGGTCCCAGGCTCCTCCAACAGTGCAAGACAATAAAACAGAAAGAATAGTGCAAGTAAATACATGCAGTTGGATGCTATCACATCTATATGATTCTATGAATACTGTGAGATTCAGTAACATGAGCAAGGATCATGACTCTGACATTAAACCTTGGATTCAATTGTTTGTTAGGAAAGCTACCGATCGCCTTCAAGGTCAAATGACTCGACCTTGTTTCTCGGCCTCAAAGCCAGAAACCTGGAGAGTATGTTTGAATATCAGGGAGCGGAGGTCAGCCCAGTTTCTCCTCACCTGTGACTTCTCAGCTGACGCGTGCTTCATCACAGGGAAAACGGGACCCAGACGTAAACCAATGAACTCACTGAATAGGTGTCCATAGGCAGGGTGACAGGAAACCGTGTCTGATTCAGAGACGCATCAACTTCAGACAGAAATCATATAGAACATGACAGAAATCACTGAAGAAATTGTGACATAGAAATGATTAAAGGAAGGTACTTGTATGCTGTTTTTACAAGACACAAAATGTGGCAAATAGTGCAACCTTTTAATGAAAGCGAACTAGTTCCCCGCTTGGACGTGTTTAAATGTTCTCTTTTCCAGGCGTAGACTTTCACCGGAAGGCCCCTCACCTTTGCCACAGAAGAGCAGAGAGGAGAAAAAGGGGGATGGCTAGATGAATGTGGAAAACACACATTAATAAAAAGTGGAAATTGGGTGGGCTAAAAGTGCAAATAATCACTGGATGTGAATGTGTCCATTGAAGCACTCTCTTCGGGTGCTAGCCCGATGCTCCCACTAATGGTCTGTTTCACTGAAGTAGCACCAGGAATGCTAACCTTCTCAATGCTTCACGACTCAGGGCAAGCATGGCAGCACTCCCATCTGTGTGTGTGTTTGTGTGTGTGTGTGTGTGTGTGTGTGTGTGTGTGCCTCGCTGTCATTATCCTTTCTCAAGGGAAGACAAAAAAAAACCTCATTCTAGCGTACTCTCCCATCCTGTAATGAACAGAGTCTACATATTTATGTTTTTACCAGAGAACACTTGAAACACAAGAGGGGTTAAAGTAAAGAGGGAGGAGGTCTTTGGACCATTTGCAATATTTCCCCCCTCTGCGCCCCATAGGGCAAGTGAGGGGTTGCTTCTTTACAATAATCAGGTGACCAGAGGAAAATAGTGTGGCCTTAACAAGCCCAAATTAAAAAAGAACATCATTTTCATTATGCAGTCAAACACAATTACAAGCAAATGTTTTCTCTGTGGAGCTGCCCCTGCTTTCAAGGTCTTTGTCCCTCGCTCCTTAGTGTGTGCAGAGAAAGGCCCCGGTGGTCAATGGGCAGCTGAGTGGCGTGTTCAGCGGAGGCCCACATCCTTAGCCTCCAGCGCAGAATGCGTTTTGTTAGAAGAGCAGCCATACATTCTGAGCAGATTTGTTGAATTAGAGAGCGCAGCGGGAGACGGGGAAGCGGGGGGTAAGTGATGGGGAGGACTTGTTGCTAGGTGACTGACATACAACTGCAGCATGCCAGTTTTCAGAGCTTGGCACTCCTTGTCTGTTTTATTTTTTTATTTTGTTTTCTTCCTTATCAACCCCCCCCCCCCTTCCACCTCCACCTCCCCTTCCTGCTCCACCCAACCATCAATTCACTTGTCCTGCTCTCCTCGGTGCTGAAGTGTAATCAAATGAAGAGAAAAAAGACAAAACACGGTGAATCACGGAGGATTCTACAGTACACCTCTAGCACCCACTAAGAACCTAGTCATCAGGTTTTCAACCGCGTCGACGCTTAAAAACCTCACCGCCGCTAAGTGTGGTGGGAAAAGAGGAATGCTTTTATAGGAAACGTAAAGGTGGATTCCCTCTTTCTAATGCGCTAGTTGGTATAGAATCTGACATAAAGCATTAGCCTCATGGAGACACTTTGCGCTATCAGCAAATTAAAAAAAGTATTTTCCTTGGGCCGATAAGTGACACACAAGGACAGGCAGGAGATCTCCAACCCCCCGCCTCCCTGCAGGCATCACTGCGTTGGAAATTCAGTTTTTTCATATATAATCTGAGATGCCGTGATCGCTGTATCCCATCTCTTTATTCCAATGGAAATACAGTTAATAAATAGAGTCCACATTAGGCTTATTTCGATTTTTCTGACACTCATTGAATTTTCCTGAGCAGACACTTCCTTCAGCGCTCTCCTCATTCCATAAGTGTGTGTCCATCTCCTTCCTGCCTGAGTTAGCAGTCTGTTCACTTACCCTGTCAGCCCCGTCACTGCATGTCAAGCCTCACAGCCCCATGCGCCACACTGACCCTTTCAGAGGGACGTCGGAGACACAAGTTGAGAGTAAGGTGGATACGGAGAAAACGACTTTCAAGGAGTGACATTTCCATAAATATTTATATATAATGATTAAAGGT